GTTTCGTTCAGATTTGGGGCCCAAAAGAATGCCAGTAGCACTTTTGTGGCATTTAACACACTGAGCTACTTTGGCATGCGCCTAAAATATCTCTTGACTCTCCTTAAAAAGTATAAGTGATTGCATCTAATCTAACAATTCTGGCATTTTGGATTATATTATCATACCTTTATCTGGTGTTTGTTTGATACTATTGAGATTTTGCTGTAATTTTAAACAATCAAAAAACATTCCCCTAGAGTTATTCAAACAAAAGACCAAATTGAATGGTACTGCGCAATACTACTTGCACTTTTCAAATACTTTCACACCATTAATTCTGACACGTCAACTCTACCATGCTGTGTCCAAATTTATTGCATGACTTTATCAGTGTACTGTTATGATTTACTTTTGAGCTTTGCCTCTAAATTAGGTTTACAGGTTTAACAAAGTAGTACGACCTTTTCGAGATAGTGTATTGAAGGGCTCCAGACAATTGAACCCCAGTGGGTTCTTTATTGTGCTCTAGTATTCAACCTGACGTGGTTCTCTAGGTTTTCAGTTCCACAGAAATGCAACCGTGGTGCCTGAATCAATCAATGCTGCATCTATTGGGCGAGTACTGTATGAGCCACTGAAGCGGCCACCTCTGAAAAGATAAGCGCATACATGTGCACTAGCCTATACATGCAAGCGCTTCTCATGAATTAAAATGATTTTTTTGGGCTAAAGTATTTTCTTCCTATTTTTTTTCTTCAGGCTTAAAAATGGAATAAAAAAACATTCACAAACTTTATGGACAATGATAACAGCCTAAAATTTTATAGAGGGGTTTCGATTCAAAGGGAAGGGGACTTTGGTGCATTAGAACTGTCATTTACTAATTTTATTGCAAGAAACGCCTCAAGGCCCTTACTTGTAGGGATATATTACATAAGGAGGAGGGAAAACAGATAAGCTGTAGCTCAATAAAAAGCAGAACAACAATACTCATCAAACAAACACCTAAAAAAAGTGTGACATAACAAACAAAATACTGTACAAAAAATGCAGTTCTGAAAATAGAAAGGCTCTAGTGAGACAGACAATTGGGTAATATTTTTAATAACTTTATTAAATTTAAGTGTATCATGTCAGTTGCAATATAAGAAGGCAGCCGGTTCAACTCGATAATGGTTTTAGGGATGAATGATTAGCAAAGTTGGAAGTACGGCAAGCTATGTTTTAATTTTGAAAGGACGATGGTGATGTGGAAATCTGATGTGGAAAAAATGAAGTAATGAGTGGCAGTATATTTTATAAAAAGAGGTAAACAAGCTAGGGTACAATGATGGTAAAGGTTATCACGACCAGCACAAGCCTTTAGGACTGACACACAATGAAATGATAGTAATCGGAAAAAAAAAAAATCTGTGCATTTTTCTGGAGAGATCGATGTTATATGATGTAGGCCTAATCCAGGTGCCACATCTATGAAGTATACTCTATATTTCAGGGTGAATTGAAGTAAAGTGGGTGAGTTTATGCACCTGTGCAGAAGCATGTTGTAGATTACAATTTAAGAGGCAAAGAGGTAGTGGCAACTACAAAGCGAAATATGTATGATGGTTCCATGTCAGGTAAAACATAGCATGAACATTAAATAGTTGTTAGTGGAAGCTAAATCACATTTATGTCATTAGGAGCATGTGAAGTTCAGAAAGCAGCATGAAACTTTTTGTAAACATGACAAGTTTAGCCTTACACTTATTTAGAAACGTAGCCATGATGAGCACCAAGTCGTAATTGAACAGAGGTTGCTTTATAATAACTGATAGCCAGAGTTACTTTTCATGGCTCAGTACACTACAAGTGTGGTCAGTAAAAAGTATAATTTGAGAAAAATACATTTAGGCAATAATAACAAATATTAGAAAAGAACAGGGGACCAAGGAAACTTCCTGTAGAGTGCCAGATGTTACTTGAGCCGTCGAAGAGTTAGAGAGATTAAAAGGTGAATTGACTGCGATATCAGAGGAACCCTTGTATACTAAGATGTGTTTGTGAATGTTGAGTGTGTTAACTACAGAGTCTATGGCCCGTATTCACAAACCAACCTTTGCCTTTCCTCGAGTTTCCTCAAGCTTCTGTACCCTCTACATGTTATAAGGCACAAAAATGGTAAGGAGGTAAAAAACTACAAGACTGGTTCACGAATATTGGCCAACTTCGTACATCAAGTGCAATAAAGGCTTACAACCGATAACAAAAACTTGAGGTAACACCGAGGATGGTTAGTGAATACGGGCCTATAATCGGAGACCCAATCAGTGCACCGAAAAAACTGGGAAACAAGGTTTCAACTTAAATGCAGTGTCTATTAATAAGCCATGAGTAAATTATGTCAGCTGATGGTCACAAGGAAATTCCTTACAGAAACTGTGCTATTTAAACATGATGTAATCTATGAAATAATTATTTGAGCTTGAATGATGCCTTCAAGGAGCTTGGAAAAGGTGTAAGTTAAGGAATGGGTCTGTAGTTTAGAGAATCAGGGCGGCGCCTGATTATAACATTGCATAACTTGGCTTCATACCAGTCATGAGGATGCAGCAAAAGGATAATGATCAATAAAAAAGTGCAGTGAAGGCTTCAAAAATACTCCCAAATATATTTTTAATACATCGTTGCTAAAAACAAGGCCATCCATACTTTCATCATCTTTATTGTTTGTAAATAAAGAAAAAATACCATCTTTACTGATGACTTCAAATTTATTGCATAATAAAGAAATCATGAAATAATCTAAAGACTCCAAAAGGAGTAACCATTTCAAGAGTGAAAACAGATGAGAACGCTTTTATAATAAGATAGCTAGTCAACGTTCAGATGCATCAGGACGTAATATGGCCTATATTACATTCCAAAATCTCCAGGGTTATTAAATACCATAGTCTACACGCGGCGGCCGTCTGCGTAGCAGGCGGTTGGTGTGTAGCGACACCGCGGACACGAGCTAACGGGGGGTGGGGGGGGTCTCACCAGAGATGGATTGGCCCTCCTGGTGCAGTCTCTGGCCACTACCTTCCACATGCATACGTCAATTAACTCACGGCCTCAATTCCCAGCAGCTGCGAAGCAACTTACCACGCCAGCGGTCAGATCTGCAACGATCTTGCACGAGCTCACTGTGACAGCGGAATTGTTTTACCTTATAACATGGCCAATAAGGATCAGAAGATGGTGCAAAAAGACCACCCCGCCAACAGGACACCATATGGATTGTGCGAACACTGGATGTTCTCAGCATGACTTCACGGTTCACCTAGCTGCTTGTGAAATGCTGCGACATTTTTTTGCAACTGACTCGGAGGAGTCTTTTGGTGTTGAAAGCGATTAAAGGCTACAAATCCTGGGCCCTGTTATTGTAATATAGTTCACTGTAATGAAATTTTAATTTCTGGCACGAAAATTTTGCTGAATTTTTGAATTTCAGTGCCTTTCCGAGATTGCATCCCCCTCCACTCGGCCAGCAATTTCAACTTTGTTTGGGGGGGGGGGGGGGAGGGTTCATGACTATCTTTTCTATTCAAGTCCCAATCTCATTTCACTCTTGAATTTCAACACAAAAAGAGTGTGTTGAGTAGCAAAAGTTACAACACAACTATCTTGACCACAATGCAGAACAGGAGTGCCTATGTGCCAATGTCTCACTGCAATGTTGCATAAGCCTCATGCTGTACTGAAAATGCATACAAGCCTCCAAGGCAGATGAAAACATAAAAAGTGGCCTGCAACAATGGCTCAGAGGCTAACAGACTATCATGGTTGTGTTCAGCTTCCTGTTATGGCAGCTAGATTTCAATGGGGGCAAAATTTTTGTCTTCCGGTTCCAGTTTACATTGGACAATCATAAGTGGTCACAGCATCTCTCACAGTACCAACATTGCTCTGGCAAGTCAATCAATAAATCAATCCGAATCGCTTAACCGGTGTTTAATAGTGTTGCTACCCTTTATGCACATCCATGTGCTACTGTCACAATGAGGTCTTATTGTCTATGCAGATAGTGAAAGTGCTTAGTGACACTGCGCAGGGCACGGTACATTATCTTGTGTACTTATTCTCACCTATGCCAGTTTTGTGAAGTACAGCTTGCGTTTGCTGCTTGTACTACAGTGGAACTTCGATTATACGTCCCCCGGTCCTACGACGACCCGTGTTTTACGACGAATTGGCTCGGTCCCGGCAAAACTCCCATAGAAGCAATGTATTAAAAACCTCAATTGTACGAACAATTTTACGCCGGCCCCGCCTCGTACGACGCTTCCCTGGACTGACCGAGTAAAAAAAAAACAGAGACGACGACGCAGACTGCCACGCAGGCACACTCCGGCAGCGCGGCCGGATTAAAGTCGAGAAACCGAGCTCGTTTCTGCATTCCATGCTGCATTCTCTTTCCGCGGCGCTGCATTCACGGAGCCGCTTCAATTTTTCGGCACGCAACGCAGTCGCGGTCGGCCTAGGCTAGCTAGCCAAAGCCAACGTCGGCCAAAGCCAGCCGGAGCGCATTCATTTTGTCGCAGTGCACTGCGCATTTTGTTGCGGTCTTGTTTTGTTTTTCTTTCCCCCTCTTTTTTTTGTGGTTCGGGAGTGATTGAGCAGGTAACAAGGCAGATAATTTCGCGATCACTTTCGAGCGTGCGATAACGTTCACTAGATTTCGCATTGTTGCACGGGTTGCACCAGACATGTTGATCGGCGATTGTGACAGCCACGGGAACCGGCCATGGTGTTTATCTACTAGAGGGCTGGGGCGTTTTAACCACACGCGATTGGTCAAAGCTTGCGCTGAGGTATGCGCTTGCAAAAATTGAATAGGCCCACTGCCATTTTGCCATTCAAACTGGTGGGTGTTCTGTGGCCATTCCTTCAGTGTGTGCATCGTTGATAGATTGTGCGCCGCAGCTGCTGAGTCCACGTGCCACATTTGTGCATTCTGACATTAGTACTCTTGGTTGTGACTTCTGCGTCTCGCGATGTCGCGAAACCGAAAACCGCTGACGCTCGGCGAAAAGCTTCGAGTTATTGAGGAGGCGGAGAAGCGGACCGGATCAACAAAGGCCAGCATTGCCCGCGACCTGAACATTCCCGAGTCGTCGCTGAAAACGATCCTCGCGAAGAAGGACAGCATCCTGCTGAATGCGTCAAAGTTCGGCCTGAACAGGAAGGCCGCGAAAGATGGCAAATACGCTGCCATGGAGAAGGCCCTCGTAGAGTGGTTGCGTCAGGCACGCAGTGCAGCTATTGCCGTGGATGGCGCAATTTTGAAGGAGAAGGCAGACATGATTGCGTTGCGCTGCGGCATTGACGACTTTAAGCCTCCAACGGCTGGTTAGATCGTTTTAAAAAACGAAATGGAGTGTTTACAGCCGCTGCTGCGGAGAGAGCTCGTCTGTCAGCTCCTCCACTGTTGAACAATGGACCGCATTGCTGCCGGAACTGATACGGCAGTACAAGCCTTGCGACGTATTCAACGCAGACGAAACTGGATTATTTTACAATATGCAGCCAGACCAGACTTTGACGTTCAAAGGAGAGGGTTGTCACGGCGGTAAGCGGAGCAAAGAGCGTCTTACTGTGTTGCTTTGCGCTAATGAAGACGGCTCGGAAAAGCTTCCTGCCCTCGTGATTGGCAAGTTTGAGAAGCCGCGATGCTTCAAAAATTTGAAAAGGCTGCCGTGCCAATACACGTTTAACCGCAAAGCCTGGATGACTGCTGCCAAGTTTGCTGCATATCTGCAGCAGCTAGACTCGAGAATGGGGGCTAAAGACAGAAAAATTCTTCTTCTGCTGGACAATGCGCCGTGCCATCCAACGGATACGTCGCATTTGAGGAATGTAAAAGTCGCATTTCTGCCCCGAATTGCACAAGTCAGCTGCAGCCACTTGACGCCGGCGTCATCAAATGCATGAAGCAGAAATACAGGAAGTTTCTGGTTCAGCGTCGGCTAGCGGGCATGGAACGCAAGCAGATGGCCACGAAGCTCTCTGTGCTCGATGCAATGCACTACATCGCTAGTGCATGGGACGCGGTCACGCAGGAAACTATCGCCAACTCCTTCAGACACTGCGGTTTTACGAGAAGTGGCGGCTGTTTCAGTGAGGCTGCAGTGCTTGATGATGACGAACCCGAGTTTGGGCGCCTGGAGCTGCCTGGATCGTTCGCGGACTATGTTGGTGCCGACGACGATGTCGCTGTGTGCAGTGCAGTGTCGCTGGATGACATTATTGAAACTGTGCGTCCCGACTCTGCGGAAACTTCCGACGAAGAAGAGATGGACGATACCGCAGAGGCAAGCGCTTCCGTACCGACTTACACGGACGTGTTGGATTACGTCGACAACATTCGGCGGTTTGCGTGCGCATACGACGAGGTCGGCGACTTGCTGCAAGATGTCGCAGCTCTCGAAAGGAAACTGATGCGTCGTGGCTGGGCCAACTCGCAGAAAAAATTACAGATTTTTTTAAGAGGTGAGAATAAAGGTTCGTTCACGCCTCCGATAAAATGCGTGGTTGTCATTTTTTCAAGTAATTTAATCTACGTTTACCGGAGTATCGCCGTATTGCGTTGCGGACTTGCTCAGGCATTATGTACTGACTGTTGTGGGGCAGCAATGATCGTCACTGCTTATATATCCTTAGTTTTTGGATTATACGACGCCCGCATTATACGACGGTTTTGCGTGGTCCCCTGAAAGTCGTATAATCGAGGTTTCACTGTACATGCACATATTATCTGATGCCTTAGGCTACATGTAAGAAGACTTTATCTGATTGGAGAATGATGCTAATCTTCAAGGTCTGTATGCACATATCTAATATATTATTTGTGCGTTTTGTTTATCAAAGTGTCCGTACAATTACAGAACCGTGTTGGGCTTTTGTGATCTGTGTAGAATGCCATAGATTGGAAAGCCTGATATCTCTATTAGTGAGTACTATATGACCCTTCATATCTGCAGTACAAGATAAGCTTGCTCACTCGTTCTGGCTGATTTCGTGCTTTGATTTTCCATGCCTTTGCTGCATGCTCTAATATGATAATCTTAATTTAATTACTTCTCTATGAAATACAGAGCCATCATCATCATTAATTACTAAGCCTCATTTGAAATCGAATGCAGAAAACTACAATTAAAAAGAGCCTCTAGCTCAGTTTTTTTCTTGCAGAGACTATGTAATCAATGTAACCTGTATTTCCGCTACTTCTGAAGTGATGAGCAGCATTTACCTAATGCGATTCAGCAAGGCTCCTACTTTTTGGATATCTAAAAATTTTATGCATAGGTGGCAACTCGAAAAAGAAGCAATGATTCTAATGCTTAGTTATCCGCAACTCTGCGGTGTGATTGCAGCGTAACGAAGCACCCTGCACTGCAGCTGTACAGGCGAACCTGGTGAACCAAGCAGTCAGCGCCACGGAGATTGCACGTTCACTGCATCGTGGGAAAACTTTGCAGATGCTCTCTCCAATTACCTTTTTCAACAAGACGCGAGAATGCCCAATAAAATAGGAAGCTATCATCAGGCGAGAGACTAGAAGAGTACTTTATTCTAAGTCAATCACAGCTCTTCGTTTGAAACTTGTAGATGGTTTTCATAGGACGTGACATTGACATTGCCTTCCATCTATGCCAACTTCCCAATACTACTGCAGGCACATGAAAATATTGCGGTGGTCTTTCTCCTCCAAATGTATGGGCCATCACTGCCCGACACCAATTGTTGGTCGATGACGTTTGGCAAAGAATTGCTTAGTTAAACTTCACAAAAAACATTCTCCTTTGCCGTGCTGCTGCTGCTCAGAACACTCCCTCACGAAAATCGTGACATTGAACTAAACTACACACGTGCATTTGTGACAAGAACACCCAATAGCAAATGTTTACAGGATGTTGGCTCTACAACAAATGGAAACTCCTTCTCTATTAGGGTGCGACTCTTCTGCTTGATTGGATTGTTGGTGCATAATAGATTAAGAATAAGACAGTGCATGAGATGGGACAAGATGAAGACATAGAGGTCTTTTTGTGTGTCTGTGTCTTCATCTAGCCTCGCACTTAAGCGCTGCTGTATTCTTCAGCTTCTAATACAGCTGGCGACTGCATAGGTTGTAATGCCAACTACAGCCTGGATCATTTATTTGGAGGATATATTTCCATACAAAGTGACAATAACTTCCTTGAATATTTTGTAGCCTGCAAACTTTTACTGCAGAGTGCAGTGGCAGATCCAAAGGGGGGCAGTAGGGGCGATCGCCCCTCCTTAAACTCTTTGTCAGCACCCCCGCCCACCTCACTTTATTGCATCTAGTCCACCTCCTGTCACCAATTAGGACAAATTAGTGAAACCACTATGGGCACACATTAACAGTATTTATGCTGCAAAGAGGTTTTTCTCCTAGTACAAACAAAGTCATGACCACGCCCCCCTCTCCCGTGCAACTTTAGGCAACTACCTCCCCCCCCCGTTGAGAGGACAGCGCCCGCCTGTAATGACTGCATACACCTGAAAAGTTCGACATCTCCGAAGATTAATAAGATGACATTTCACAACACAAACAACATGTACAGGTTCATAGGAATTTCGCACTTGTACAAACAGGCACTTACCAGAACAGGTGGCCACAGAGACTGACTACGGCATCCTTGGCCGTGTCTAGGCATATGTTGCACTCAAAGCTGCCATCCTGCTGGCCGCTCGTGCTGCCGCCTTCGTCGTTGCTCGAAGAGGCCGACGCCCCTTTCGGGTTCTCCGAAGTCACCACCATGCCCCTGCACAAATAGGTCACAAAGCTTGAATGACACAACAGCCAAGACTCAAGTAGCGCTCAGAGATAATCTAACCACAGGAAAAATTAGGTAGAACAAGCCGTACCTAACTACCAATACTGCCACATGCAAGGGAGTTTCAGTATACGCATACCAACTATCAGTGCTTGAGATACCAGCAGAAAAATAAGCCAAGAAAAGCAAAGGGACATTACTTGTTTCTTTTTTAATTGCAGTGTAGTGATTTTTGCATACAATGAAATGGATTAAAGTGGACAGAACATCACTCTTTCCCCTGTGGGATTTAAATCCAGAACCTTTGAATTACGCACACAATGCTCTACCAATTAAGTCTCCGAAAGAAAAAAAATATGCCCCTTGAGCGATTCCCCTTTTTTCTAACTATCAGAGATTGCGTGACATTTTCCCTTCTCTGTGCTCATCTGTAAGGCTTGCATATCTTCAACATGAACACATACCAGCATTCTTCTTTTTTTCCGTCGTCTCACACAGATGTACCATAGTCAGTCAAAATATGAGACATATTCCTTCCACAATAGCGAATAACATGTGAAGACAAAGAGGTAGTGGCAGTGAGGAAAATAAAGAAAGACTGACATTTCAACACCTCTGCAAGCTCCTGTACAACTGACAAGCATGACAGCTTCAGAAATATGGCTGATTTTACCAGTGGCTGTGCTATCTCCCTCCCACTGTTGCCATAGACTAGAAAGATAAGTTGAGAAGGCACAAAAAAGAAGCAAATATTGCTACTGATACAGTCTGGGATAAGCCCAAGCTACCTCACGAGCCAGGCTTTGTCCTTTGCCTGCAGAGTAAACAGGCTGCAACGCTTCAGCACTACCATATTGCCAGATTGGGCTGCCACAATGCTGATGCACATCCTGACAACTAAAATTAGAGGAATTCAGGGGAGCAGGCGCTGAACCTTAAAAGAAGGTCAGACAAAAAAAAAAACAAGCATTGTTTTTAACAAGTCGAATCAGAAAAATAAATAAATAGGCTATTCAACACTCGTTACATTATGATGGCCAGATAACATTCTTGTCGCAAACTGAAGTGCCCTTGACAGGAACCTCGGTGCTCAACTTGCATCCTCGCAGTACGGCATATAGGCAACAGCATATTGTTACCCAGTCAACAGGTCGACAGAGACCGGTTGATTGATTGACTTCCTGATTTGTGGTATTTAATGTTCAAAAACTAACAATGTAGGAGGTACCACAGGGGAGAGATGCATGCTTATTTTGGCTGCAGTTCCCCAGCCAGTAAGAGTGTAACGAGTTTAGCACAATGAATAATCTGTAATAATTTTGAATGCAAGCGGCCTTGCAGCTTTGTACATCGATAGTTTTGAAAAACACGTTTTGAAAAATGAACAAGATATTGAGCTGAAGGAGTCCATGAAACAATTCTTTTCAGACCTAAAATACCTGCCCAGATATGCACATCCCACAAAATTTTTCCTGGCAAGTGCATGCACTTAATTTAACACCATCACCGTATAACTTACTTTTTAAAGAAAACTGCATGGCCGCAACAATAGGGCATGCAGGCATCATGGTCTATCTGGCATCAGCTAGTTGATAATTTAAATAATAAATTATAGGCTTTAATGTTGTCATGACATGTTTCATTGGTAGCAATAGCTAACTCAGTAAGACAAATTTTACCCGGCTTTCTGCAGCCATACTCAGCAGCCAACTTATTCTGAAACTAAGACTGAGACAAGTAAATTTGAATATAAAAGAAAGAAACCAATATGAAATCAATTAGCAGGTTTCAGTTTATGCAGCGGCCTTAACCGCTTTTCAGTAATAATACACTTTTCAGCATTATGCTAAGCTCATTGAACTTCAAAAACATCGTACAAGTTTGTTTTGTCTTAAGAAAATAAGCAGATCTAGCGCACTTGTCTGAAGCAGCCCAGTGCTTTGCAATTATTGGCAATGAGTGTGACTCCATTTTATTTCAGTTACATGTAACGTGAGATCTCCTACAGTGCTTACATTTGTTCTAGTATAGGTTTTGGATTTATATAGTAGGTCACAAGCAGTGTCTAAGTGGAAACACAGTCATGTATGATGCATGCTTACAGACACGGACAGGCAACACATTTGCAGCAATACTGATGGGCAAGTTAGTAGCAATAACATTCTTTTATAGTGCAAAAAGACAGCACAAGAAATTGAGACAGAAGAAGGCACTAGTCTGAAAAGTCGAGTTGAGAGTAGCAGCATCTCTGTGGTGGTGTTCTCTTTTTGCATAAAGGAAAAACTATTTTGAACCTCTTGTGTTACAGAGGCACACACCCTAACAAGAACACACCTTCCGCAAAGCTATGGCTTAAGAATTTTTTTTAATTGTTGAGCATGTTCAATTGACAAGTCTGTGTTCTTTTAAGACACAGCAGTGCATGTTCCCATTACACTCAGCACAATGCACATTACACTCAGCAGTACAGCACATTACACTCAGCACAAATAAACTTTTACTTTGGTCGGCACAGTGCCTCCAGGTTTTTTACCTTCAACCAGCACAATGGAGTTAAATAAGAGCACGTGTATTGTGTAGAAAGATTTATGTATACAGAGGGGCACGTACTGGCACTGACTTGTGGGTAAACATACCACGGTTGCATAAGCAAGCTTGCATTTGCATTCAGGGCACAAGTAATTTTTATTTATTAATTAAACTGTATACAGCTCAAGTCTTTCAGCAATTCGCATGTGCCTAACAAATATGCTTCATAGATGCTCCCATACCAGCAACAATGCAGTCTCTCTTGTATAAATGTGCTAATGTAATGAAAGCAATGTTAGTACACAACTCAGACTCTCGCTGCATCTAGCAAATTTACATGTGGACGTGTGGCAGCTGCTTCCAGAATGGCATCGTTCTGTTGCTCATGTGACATACGTGAGTTACAACATCTAAATGTGCCTGGTGTTACGATTTGTGCTTATGCGACACACTGACATAAGTTACTACATCCATACCTGGCTAGTACCTTGGTCTGTTCAAGCTTCTAAGGCCCACTCCCTGCCTTCTCTCTTGTTGTTTTTGTCCTTACAGCCGACTATCCGATACGTGGCTAGCGCTTAGGTTTGCTTGACTTTTGACAGCCGACTATTTGCCCAACTAAAGGTCATAGTTGGCAGATTGATTGATTGATATGTGGGGTTTAACGTCCCAAAACCATCATAGTTGGCAGGATCAGCATATCCGAAAAAAACACAGAGGTGCACTTGGTGGTCAGGGACTAATCCACAGCTCAACCGCCGACATTCAAGGAACAAAAAAAAAAAATTGGGGGAGGGGGGGACGCCCCGCAGTTTGTGCAATTAATAACAAGGCGAAGATGACGAAGACGACGAAGACAGGTACGCAGATATCGACATTTCAAGCAGGCCCCGGATTTCGACAGTCCCGAACCCACGTCGTCGGACAGCGCCGGCAAGGTCGAACTTCCCGGCTTTACATGCACGCGCGCCGAGCTAGCAAACGTCCTCCACCAGGCAGTTGTTGGCTGCAGAAGCAACGAGCAGGCGAACGTCTGCGCCGCTTGCACGTAGACGCGGTCGAACAGCTTCCCACCCTGGTCTCGCTTTGTTTGTTGTTTCTCGCCAGCGGTGCCGCAGTCAAGCGCTTGTTGAACAAACCACATATACGTGCTACATTCCTTCAGAGTGGGAATAAAAAAAAAGGGGGGGGGGGGGTCGTCTAATCGAAGTTTACGAACGCGACATACAAGCATTCGTCGCAGAAGGTCGCGCGACTGGGCGGCGGTGCGCAAAACTGTCTAGAAGGACTCGATTCCGTTCAAGACTGATTTGGACGAGTTGGCACATGCTCAGCTGGGAAAACGCAGCGCAAAAAGACGAAGCAAGGTGCACAGGTAGGGCATAGTACGGTGCACCGCGTTTCCTGGGTCTTGGCGTCTTTTTGCGCTGCGTTTCCCCCAGTTAAGCATGCATTCCGTTTAGCGTTTCGGTTGGCGAAGTGGGCGGCGTACCACTGCAGTAGATTCTAGGCATTGTAGCACCACACGACACTTGCACACCTATACATACGTGTTTGCCAGGCCAAGGAGTAGTTATAAGGGTCGGGGGCCGTAAACGGGACTAGCCACCCTAACGAGACCATTCGTCGTCGTCGTCCCGGGTGCTTTCTTTGTTTGTTTTACTATTTTACTTTCCTCGGTACCTAGGCCGCACGCACCGCAACGGAGCGCACAGACACCTGAGGCGCGCGCCAAGCTATTTCTATATAACACTCACAGGAAGTAAAAGTCGGAAATGGGCACGTGCTCACCATCCGGGAGTGAGAAAGATACAAGGAGAAAAATGAAAGAGAGAAATGTAGGTTGTGTGCCGAAAAGAAACGAGGCGATCAGCGCGCGGCCCCCGCTAGCCCGCTTGTCAACTATGGTGGGAATCGAATCCGCTTGTACTACGGCGATCGAGTCAATCACGTAACGACCGTCGAGGCCGATGCGACCCGTTCAAGGTCTCTCGTTTTTTCGTTCTTTCACGGAGGGAATTATATCATATGACGCACGACAGCGATCTTTCTACACGATTGGGGGGGGGGGGGGGTGTTGAAGCGTCGCTGTGGGGGGGGGCGCAATGAGCTCGTTTTCGTTTCTCGGCAGCTGCTATAGAAAAAAAAAAAACATGCATACGCGAACCCCGGGCACAAACTGGATCTTACCTCGAAGTTTCCCTCGCAGAGCACGGGCTTGTTTTCGGGTAGGGCGAATCGCTACTACTTTCACTACCAGCAAAACAAGCGTGCTTTCCAACCACAAGGAACGTCGTTGCTTCACAGCTCGGCGCGACGTGACAATTCCGGCACGTCGCGCTGTAATTCCATTCGTAACGTTCGCCTACAATACAGCTACGCAACGCACCACCGGCTTTTCTCCCTATTTTCTGGTCCATGGCCGCTCTCCAAGTGTAACTCTGGACGTCTTCTTCCTTTCGGCTCCTGATACCTCAGCAAGCCCTTTATCCACACAATTTTTGTCTCGCCTCGAGCACTGCCGTCATATGGCCCGAATCAACACCGGCATTTCTCAGGAAGCTCGCAAGTCTCGCTATGACTCAACACACCGTGCTGTCACCTTTTCCCCAGGAGACGAAGTTCTGTGGACTCCCGAGCGTGTGCCCGGCTTGTGTGAAAAATTCCTCAGTCGTTTTATAGGGCATGAGAGAGTGATTTTAGATGTCCGTTTGCCAACTAAAACGAGTCCCTTGGGCGAGCAATCATGCGGTACCATCTGCGTCACAATTACTTCGTAGCCACTCTCGGCCGCACACATAGCCCGGTCTCTGTCTACCAGAGCCATGCAATAATGGCCCTGCTGGCATGTAGGCGTGTCACGCTCAGTTCGGTCAGCGTAGTGGCACAGCAACGTGTAGTCCTCCTTCGAGATGCCCGTATCCCTAAAAGCACGACTGAGGGATAGCTGATTCGATCTGTCACTTTCATGGCACCGTAGCAACAGGGACACGACACGAACGCCGCATTGCGTTCGATGCACTTCTGCAAGACCAAGTCCGTGGCAACGCCGCAAGCATGCAGAGAGACTCCCAAGTCAAAATTACCCACGTAGTAGTTTATATTGCTTTGATAAAAGACAACATTTCGCAGGCCCAGAGACTTCACCCTCTCCCGAGCACGATGCATCGACTCTTCCTTGTTTTCAATCATTACGATCCGGCATTCCGGTAGCAGGTAAGCCAGGACAATGCCCACGTGGCCTCCTCCTGAACAGAAGTCTACAATCGTGCAGCCATCAAAGGCATTTTGAAGAGCCAACACTAGAGGTTCTCAATCTGCTGACACTTGCGCAGGACCGTGTTTTTTGGAAGACCTCCACCAAGGGGGTGCACTTTTTCTGGAAACTCCTCCCAGGGAAGGGGAAGGGAGTCTTTGCTGTGGTTCGGCTTCAAGTCTGGCGATATGTGGGCCTCCCTGAGGGAGTTAATGATGGACTCTGGGTTCTTGTGCCGAATACGAGGCTTTGTGCATTCTGGATGAGACGAGTAGAGGCTGTCCTTCGGGAGCTCGAACTCTTCTATGAACCTGCTGCACTCTTCTCACTCGACCTGCTCGATGTGCTTCAGTTCCAAAGATTCCAAGGCACGGTGAGTCTGTATCTGTGCAGACATCGTTTCGTACCACTTGAAAGTGAGAGGTAGCCTTACGGATATTGCCTTCTTACTCGTAACAGCTGCCAACTCGGTGAATATGAGGTGAAGGACGGGAAAAAGCACTACGTCGGCCAGTGTCTGGTCGAAACCCTCGACGAATCTGTGTTCCAGTAGAGGCAGTTTTCCATCAACCGGCTTATGCTCCACGGGCGAGCCGCCTCCTTCACGACGTGACGCCCGAAACACTTGCTGCTGTTTCCTCCGGACATTGTGCGTCTTCACAGGCTGTCGCATGTGGGCCTCGAGAAGGTGAAGTTCTTCGGGAAGCTTCAGCGGCGGAGATTCGAACCCGCTACCAGCAGAGACGCGCTTCCGAAGCTTCGGAAGGGCTCTCTGTATGTCCAGTTCGCAGAAGCGAGTCCAGAGAGAAGACTCGGAGCAGGCTGCGAGGCAACCGCCGCGGAAACCCAGCAGTGCATTGCACTCGCGGTCCCGGGTTCTACTCCCCAACTGACCCAGCGCCCATCGGAGGACACCCGTGAGCCCGCCGATGCAAGTCGCGGTAGTATTGTCGGGTAGATAGACAGCCGGAGGTTCGCAGTCGAGAAGTTCTTGCGGGGTAGGTGAGCCGTCGCTAGTCTCGAAGCACTTGAGTTTCGAAAGAACGCTGCGAGGCAAATCGAAGAGTGGATTGTCGTTACAGTCACTACCGCCATCGCTGGCTGGCTCGCGTGGCACTAAGACGATACGCAGGTCTTCTATCTCACAGTAGGCGAACGTGAACAAAGCGACGAGTGTGTTTTGCGGTACACGCAGAAGCGATCTGTCGTTGTCTTTCCTGCCGCTGAGCATTACGAGGGGCTCGATTGCCATGATTGTTGGCTCTCCACGAAGCTCTGTCAACTTTGTTGTGGAAGAAAATGAAGCACGTATTTTTCATCACCGAGTTGTACTCACACCATAGCCTATTCTAAACAGAGAACACCTACCTATGCACGCCAGCTTGACGACAGAACTCTCGTTTCCATTTCGCCGCATTTCGCACAGGGCGCCGCCATCTTCACTTTCTCATTGTTTGTGGGCGCCCATACGACTTTGTTCCACGCCAACGTCTATTACAACATTGTCCACGCTTTGTTCAGCTTTGTGTTCTGTGGTTCCAATGAAACGTCGTTGAAAACTATAAAAAAAATGTTTTGTCGCTTGCTTGCTTTTTCGCAGACAAAACCTCACGCGTAATGAAGTTTTAATGTTATTATTGTTTTTTTTTTTTTTGAAGCTCGACAAGCATCGTTGCAATCGACGAATAGGCGACGGCCTGTTTTATATGACTCGCACTGAGTATGCGTTTGCTGAGTCAACGCCTCCTCTAGGAAGATGCCTGCCACATGAGAAAAAAACAGCTGCCACACTCTTTCTCTCCTTTATTTTGAAAATGTTCTCGGTCGCTAGCGTTACTTGTGACGGACGGTGCAACAACGCAACACTTTGCATAGCCTCCGAAACAGTGGTGCACAGTTGCAGGCACGGAGCAAGGAAAAAGGTTTCCTTTCCTTCCTCCGTGGTTGCAGGTCTCTAATAACTTTCGACTGACGCGCCCCTAGGGGCCGCAGATGAAAAACGCTCAGCTGGTATGACGATAGTTATAGCGCGAGAACAAAACGACGACACAGAACTATCGTCATGCCATACCAACTAGCCCAAGCTGCCACACTTAAGTTACCGCTCAACTGGTACCGCGTACTCGCCTGTCGCCGTGATAATGGATGGATGAATGCTTATGGCTGTACCCTTTAAATCGAGCAGTGGCTAGCGCCACCAAGCCGTAATACTTAATGAACCAAAAACTAGGTTTATTTTTTTTTTCTTTAAAAAGTGAGTTTGAGGATTCGTACTTTGCAGTGAAGGGTTTAATTTTCACTCGTGCCTTGACTTTAACCACCAATCAGATAACCTCCTTCTAGTTAAGTCTACCCGCTTAAAGTCTATTTTGCCCTCCCGGTCCCTAAACCCCAGTGCTTTGAAAAACTCTGCGCCATCATCCTGAACTATAGGGTGAAGCCCTTTACAGAACATTATCAAGTGTTCGGCAGTTTCTTCTTCCTCTCCGCATGCACTGCATACCGTGTCTACCCTTCGTATTTGGCCCGATATGTCTTGGTTCGCAGTACTCCCGTCCAGGCCTCAAACAATAGGGAACTACCCCGAGTATTATCATAGATCCTTTCCTTGGTAATTTTCGACTTAAAAGTTCGATAGATTTCTAGTGTGGGCTTCTTAATCATGCACATTCTCCACATGTCAGTCTCCATTTCCTTCACTTTCTTCTTAACCGATAGTTCTTTTTGGTTTGGCCACCTGCTGTTTTCCAAGTATTTACCAGTCAATTTCCTGGTTCGCTTCCTCCATTTTGTATCGCTATTCATTCTTCATGTACAAGTAGCTGAAAACCTTCCTAGGCCAACGCTCCTCCCCCCTTTCTCTCAATCGCTTCTCAAATTTTATCTTGCTGCTAGCTTCCCTGCCCTCAAATGATGTCCACCCCATATCACCTTGTGCTCCCCGATTTGGTGTATTCCCGTGAGCTCCTAAAGCAAGCCTACCTATTCCACGTTGCTTAATTTCTAATCTTGCTTGAACTTCTGATCTCATGCACAAGACCGCATTGCCGAACGTCAGCCCAGGAACCATGACCCCTTTCCATATTCCTCTCACAACATCATACCTATTGTAATTGCACAGTGCCCTGTTTTTCATCACTGCTGCATTCCTGTTACCTTTAGTCGTCACGTATATTTCGTGTTCCCTCAGGTACTCGGTCCCATTGCTTATCCATACGCCCAGATATTTGTATTTATCTGTTATCTCGATCTAGCGTGACCTCCTGTATTCTAAGCTCACTACCTTCGTTGTCATTGAAAATCATGACTGCTGATTTTTCCTTACTAAATCTAAAATCTAACCTCATCTGCCTGTGTCTGTGTTCCCTAAAATCATGTCTGTGTTCCCTAAAGGCTTCCTGACGTTTTGCTATGGCTCTCTTAACTTCCTCATCCCACCAACTTTTGGGTTTGTGTCTTCTTTTCCGGGGTGACTTGTCACGCGTCTTAGCAAGCTCTAGCTCAGAGTCTAATTAGATTCGTATATGTCCACACTGTCGTATTATCCTCCGTGATTACTTGCTCAATTTGTTTAGTGGCTATTTCAATTTGCGTTTCTGGATAAAAGTTTTCCTGTAGTTGCTCATCTTGTCTCCTTCCCACTTTCACTGCTCTTCCAAAACTTAGCGTGATACGTTTGTGATCACTACCCAGACTTCTGGAGCCACCTTCATCTATGTGCATTCCCCTGAGCTTATCATACATCCTTTGTGACATCAGTGCATAATCTATCGTCGACTGCAGCCTTCCTACCTCCCATGTTATTTGCCCTTCACACTTCTCGGTACTTTTGCAAATGATCAAATCAAGCCTTTCACACATATCCATGATCATTTTGCCTGTCGGGTCGGTATACCCATCTATATCTTCTATGTGCGCATTCATGTCTCCTAGTATAATTATCTCGCCCCGCCGCGGTGGTCTAGTGGCTAAGGTACTCGGCTGCTGACCCGCAGGTCGCGGGTTCGAATCCCGGCTGCGCCGGCTGCTTTTCCGATGGAGGCGGAAATGTTGTAGGCCTGTGTGCTCAGATTTGGGTGCACGTTAAGAACCCCAGGTGGTCGAAATTTCCGGAGCCCTCTACTACGGCGTCTCTCATAATCATATGGTGGTTTTGGGACGTTAAACCCCACAAATCAGTCA